ATGATATCCAGCTGCAATTACTTCCTTGTCATTGTTGATAACTTTGCAGCCTGTATTATTAAAATGAACTTCGAGACCATTTTGCACTATTTTTGACACCGACAACAGATTAAGGCACAATTCAGGTACCAGCAGTACATCTTTGGGCGTCAAATATATTTTATTTGAAAAATCGCTAACTTTGAATTGTATGTTCTGAAAGATATAGATTAAAGACTGCAATTGTATTAATGTATGTACACAGAGTTGGTATTTACACACACTCCAATATCGGGTCGATCGCTATGAGGCCGCATAAAGTTCAAAGATGTCACATTTAACATAGATGTGCAGGGTATACAAACATTTTGTTCTGATTGTGCCACATTTTACCATCTTGCGGAATTTTGCCCATGTAAGCACCATAATGATATCCAGCTGCAATTACTTCCTTGTCATTGTTGATAACTTTGCAGCCTGTATTATTAAAATGAACTTCGAGACCATTTTGCACTATTTTTTACACCGACAACAGATTAAGGCACAATTCAGGTACCAGCAGTACATCTTTGAGCACAACGCTTTCGGATTGTTTAACCTCACGAGTTGTCAATTCCACATTACCCATGCCTTTAACATTGATTTTTGAATTGTTCGCAATTGTTACTTCAGTAGTCTTGGGTTCTAGCTTCCCATTGAAAATTTTCTCGTTGGCGGACATATGAGCCGAAGCTCCAGAGTCAAAATACCAATTTTCCTTTGCAGTGCTAATTACAGAGAACGAACCAATCATAGCATTTGCCTTCTTCTTTGTATTGGATTTTTTGGACACTTAGCAGCTATATGTCCAAATTTCTGGCAATTGAAACATTTTGGACCTTTAGGTTTTTGCTTCTGACGGCTTGGAAGAGCGAGATTTTCATCATCGCGGATTCGTACATCTGCAAAAGTTTTAGCTTGATCGAATCGCCAGTGATTTTTATTCCTGAACTTTGTACGCCCATGATCATTGGTTTGTACTCCTCTGGAAGACCAGCAAGCATCATGGATCCGACCCATTCTTCATCCAACTTCAATCCAGCACTCCTTAGCTTATGCGCACTAGTCAATATATCGTTTACATACCCTTCAACGGACGCAAAATTATTGAGTTTCGCAGAACAGAACCTCTGGATACGGCCGACTCTTCTTACTAAGCCAGAATCAGCAAAAATATCGTTCAATGTATCTCATATTTCTTTGGCACTGTTGCACTCTCGAATATGAGGATACACAGATTTATCCACTAACATTATTAGTTCTGCTCTAGCTTGGATCTTCTTTTCCGGCTTGGTTTCCGTGCCTTCCACAGACGCCCATAATTCCTTCATTTGAAAATAAGCTATTACGGCAAACTTCCAATCCTCATGACATGACAAATATTATATCAAAGCATTCTACAATAAATAAGACTAAGGTTTATTTGATCAAAGTACAATCTTCAATCTCAACAAAATCCCGACATCATTCAGCACTACCTTGTTAAATTGTATTGAGGATTTGATTGCAATTGCTAGGCCAACGGATATACTATTTGATATACAGTAGTATTCCGGTATTTTCATTCTTCTGTTTCTACGTAGGTGAGTTTCTTGAATAAACCCAATGTCTATTTGGTTTCTCAAAAAATTGTGTAACTCTATTTGTCGACAGTGTAGGCAAATTTAATTCAACCAATCAGACACACATCTATGTTAAAACTATGTGTTGCCTCAAGAGTTTGTAGTCTGATTATCATGATCCGAATCAAATGGTGATTGAAAAAAATATCTTCTGAAAACACAACATCAGCACTATTTTGAATAAACGATTCATTTCATTCTGGAATTGCAGAACTCAGACCCATTGTCGGTCCTGAGAATTTTGATTGTTTTGCCGTCTCGTTTTCGACATTGTTTTTGAATACCTAAAATTTCTCAGCCACTTCACTTTTCGTCTTTAAAAAATATACGAAAACTTTTGAAGAAAAGTCGTCAACAAAGATCAGCATGTATCTTGAGCCTGCAAATGAACGGCATTCCATTGGCCCGCAAGCATCACTGTGTATTAACTGAAGGACATCAGTGGTACGATTTGCCGATTCGTGAAATGGATGCCTAGAAAATTTTCCTTTGTAGTACGTAACACATTCAATGTTACATGGCTCACAAGTAATATCAGCGACAGATCCTTCAACCATTTGCTTTAAAATTTCACTACTGACATGTCCTACTCGCTTGTGCCACATTTTACCATCTTGCGGAATTTTGCCCATGTAAGCACCATAATGATATCCAGCTGCAATTACTTCCTTGTCATTGTTGATAACTTTGCAGCCTGTATTATTAAAATGAACTTCGAGACCATTTTGCACTATTTTTGACACCGACAACAGATTAAGGCACAATTCAGGTACCAGCAGTACATCTTTGGGCGTCAAATATATTTTATTTGAAAAATCGCTAACTTTGAATTGTATGTTCTGAAAGATATAGATTAAAGACTGCAATTGTATTAATGTATGTACACAGAGTTGGTATTTACACACACTCCAATATCGGGTCGATCGCTATGAGGCCGCATAAAGTTCAAAGATGTCACATTTAACATAGATGTGCAGGGTATACAAACATTTTGTTCTGATTGTGCCACATTTTACCATCTTGCGGAATTTTGCCCATGTAAGCACCATAATGATATCCAGCTGCAATTACTTCCTTGTCATTGTTGATAACTTTGCAGCCTGTATTATTAAAATGAACTTCGAGACCATTTTGCACTATTTTTTACACCGACAACAGATTAAGGCACAATTCAGGTACCAGCAGTACATCTTTGAGCACAACGCTTTCGGATTGTTTAACCTCACGAGTTGTCAATTCCACATTACCCATGCCTTTAACATTGATTTTTGAATTGTTCGCAATTGTTACTTCAGTAGTCTTGGGTTCTAGCTTCCCATTGAAAATTTTCTCGTTGGCGGACATATGAGCCGAAGCTCCAGAGTCAAAATACCAATTTTCCTTTGCAGTGCTACTTACAGAGAACGAACCAATCATAGCATTTGCCTTCTTCTTTGTATTGGATTTTTTGGACACTTAGCAGCTATATGTCCAAATTTCTGGCAATTGAAACATTTTGGACCTTTAGGTTTTTGCTTCTGACGGCTTGGAAGAGCGAGATTTTCATCATCGCGGATTCGTACATCTGCAAAAGTTTTAGCTTGATCGAATCGCCAGTGATTTTTATTCCTGAACTTTGTACGCCCATGATCATTGGTTTGTACTCCTCTGGAAGACCAGCAAGCATCATGGATCCGACCCATTCTTCATCCAACTTCAATCCAGCACTCCTTAGCTTATGCGCACTAGTCAATATATCGTTTACATACCCTTCAACGGACGCAAAATTATTGAGTTTCGCAGAACAGAACCTCTGGATACGGCCGACTCTTCTTACTAAGCCAGAATCAGCAAAAATATCGTTCAATGTATCTCATATTTCTTTGGCACTGTTGCACTCTCGAATATGAGGATACACAGATTTATCCACTAACATTATTAGTTCTGCTCTAGCTTGGATCTTCTTTTCCGGCTTGGTTTCCGTGCCTTCCACAGACGCCCATAATTCCTTCATTTGAAAATAAGCTATTACGGCAAACTTCCAATCCTCATGACATGACAAATATTATATCAAAGCATTCTACAATAAATAAGACTAAGGTTTATTTGATCAAAGTACAATCTTCAATCTCAACAAAATCCCGACATCATTCAGCACTACCTTGTTAAATTGTATTGAGGATTTGATTGCAATTGCTAGGCCAACGGATATACTATTTGATATACAGTAGTATTCCGGTATTTTCATTCTTCTGTTTCTACGTAGGTGAGTTTCTTGAATAAACCCAATGTCTATTTGGTTTCTCAAAAAATTGTGTAACTCTATTTGTCGACAGTGTAGGCAAATTTAATTCAACCAATCAGACACACATCTATGTTAAAACTATGTGTTGCCTCAAGAGTTTGTAGTCTGATTATCATGATCCGAATCAAATGGTGATTGAAAAAAATATCTTCTGAAAACACAACATCAGCACTATTTTGAATAAACGATTCAGTATGTGTCGGCATCTTTCAATAATTTCCCTTGATGAATTCTGGAAATTTTGTATGTATATACGGTTCTGGCATAAGTCTACTTCTATTGGTTTTGGTAGTGTCCGGTTTATATTTAGAGGCCACAATTATGACCCAAATCCATGAAATTACGGAGATGGGGATCTGGCCTACGAATTAATATAACTGTTTTCATAATAATCGCTCAATATTTACGGCGTCAAATATATTTTATTTGAAAAATCGCTAACATAGAATTGTATGTTCTGAAAGATATAGATTAAAGACTGCAATTGTATTAATGTATGTACACAGAGTTGGTATTTACACACACTCCAATATCGGGTCGATCGCTATGAGGCCGCATAAAGTTCAAAGATGTCACATTTAACATAGATGTGCAGGGTATACAAACATTTTGTTCTGATTGGTTGAATTATTTATTTACAAACATTAATTCATTTTTTAAGGCGAATTAAAAATTACAACAATTTGTTTTGACATTCAATGTTACAATCAACTGGGTCGATGCGACTACCTAATACATCTACCTTGGGGGTGTTCTTTGAATACGTATAACCTTTCGTTTTTGTGGCCAAATTTTGTGTTTAACTTTTCGCGGTAATTCGTGATCTTGTGCTTTAAAAAGTCGTGTCGCTTTGTTGGGTGTGCTTGCTCTATCGGTGGAGTATCGATTTTCATCTGTAGCGCGAGTGGTGTAGCTGCTGTAAGCGGTTTTCATTTGGGCAAAACAGCCTCTTATATTGATATTTGGGAGTGCCTGTGGTGCAAGGCACTAAATAGAAAAGGAGTTCCATTTGCTAAGAGGTACTAATTTGAAACTAGCCGGAACTATGAAGGAGGCGAGTGAGATTTTTTTTAAAAATGGAGGGTTCGATGTTGGAGGAGATGGAAAATATGGCCGGGGATGGAAAATATGGCCGGCTGTGTTTCTTTGCGCCAGAGGTGCCGAATGCTGGTGTAGGAAAGAAGGTGAAGTCGAAGAGGAAGGTGATGTCAACCATGGAGGGGAAGGCGGGTACTACCGGGAATGATTGGAAGCGTTTTAAGCCCGGATCGCCGATCATCTCGGGTGCGGAGGCTGTTGGAAAAATTGTGAGTGGAAATGTTTTGCAGACGGGCAGTGAGGTTGATGTGCATGTGCATAGCCGTCCGCGTAATAGGAGGCGCTTGGCTAGTGGTGGAGGTGGGGAAGGTTGCATCTCCAAGATGAAGGAGGTGGTGGGCAGGCTGCTGGGAACGGTCCTGGGATGCAGCCTAAGTTTGCCGAGCTTGGATTGGAAGTATCTGTGAAGGAGCAGTTGGGTCCGAAGGTGGTGGTGAACCGGGTCCACTCTGAAATTAACCAGGACGTCTTTATGAGCTTTATAAGATAAATTTCGAGAAGCGATGTTTTCGTGTAGAGTGTGAGGATGGTGACGGCGCCGTGGAAAGCTGGCGCAGGACCGGTTAATGTCGTGTTGGAGTGCACGAAACGTGTGAGCGACGTGTATATATATATATATATATGTATATATCATATGATTTATGTTATACCATATGTTTTATGGTATAGGTTTACAGTGCGTGTGCATGAGGAGGTTATGGCGTGCTTCAGGTGCTTCAGTTTCGCCCATAGGTTTAGGCAGTGAAGGATGACCACTACGATCTGTCGGCACTGCAGGTTAGGTGGCCATAATGCGGCGACTTGTCCGGATCCGGGACACTGCTGCAATTGCGAGTTTAAAGGGCTTCCTGCAGACCACATTATGTTGTCTGCGAGTTGCCCCATATACTCGGCAATGGTAGAGCGTGCAAGGGCTCGCCATTAGAATGGAGTTGTACATTGTACAGTTCAATTGTCAGCGGTCGAGGTCGGTGATGTATGAGTTAGGTCAGGTGCTTAGTAGCTCCAGGGCGTCGGTTGCCCTCCTTCAGGAACCGTATACTAGGGATGGCTTAGTTCGAGGATTGCCGGGGTGGATGCGGGTCTTCACGGACGTGAATGGAGACTCTGCTGTTGTTATTTGTGAAGGGACGTTGACTGTACTGTCGTTAGTAGCAGCCAGTGGAGCGTTTGTGTCCGGATTGAAGGGGGTTTTGGGACGATGCTTCTGGCTAGCGTCTAATGCGGTTCTGCTGCTTGTTAGTGGTAGTCCGCTCATCGCTGCTCTTGATTCTAATGCGAGCTCGCCCATGTCATGTGGCCAGTTTCGGTGGAACTCAGTGTCTTAAATGAACCGAGTAGTGTATATACTTTTGATGGACCCAATGGTGCTAGTGGGGTGTCGCTTGATGTCACTTTGGGTACCGTGTACAAAGTGTGCAGAGGTAAAGGTAGAGTGACCGACGTGACGGCCCTCCAAGGTGGCAATTCATTGTCTTCTTGGAGTGAGTGTATAGGGACTTTACTTACTTCATTTTTCCTGAGGCTGAACGTGTCGGTGATACTCCACCTGTGGTGGAGAATGCTGATACGCCTCCTCTGGATAGTTTGGAGGTGGACGTAAGTATTGGTCGGATCAAGTGTGGAAAGTCGCCCGGTATGGACAGAATGACTGGAAGATGCTCAGGGCCATCTGGAAAACCATTCCGGCCCATATCGAATCAATTTTTGAAAGTTGACTTAGAATAGGATATTTTCCTTCCGTGTGAAAACTGGCATGCGAGTTAAGTAAATTGAAACACAACTTCTTTAATTTTGTCTTAACATATATTATTTATTTATTCTTCAAATGTACAACACATTCCTTTAAACTCCAAACTTGAACTAAACTCAAAAGTTGAATGTAATTCATATTTAAAAAATAATTTCTTTCAACTAAACATTAAACGTAACGGTTTATTTAAAAATAGAAACGATAACAACAAATTTAATTGGGTTAGAGAAAAGGAAAAGTAATGAAGACAAATAAGATGATAATTAAGAATAAAAGAATAACAATAAATTGATATCATAACGAAATATTTAATAAAGAAGTAAAACAAAGTAAATTTAACAGGGAGCAATCCCGCTCCTATCGTGGCATCAGTCTCCTTCCGGAGCTTGCGAAAGCTTTAGAGAGGGTAATGGTGGCACGACTTGGAGAACTATAGGGATGGTTTTGCCACAGAACAGTTCGGATTTAGGCAAGGCAAAGGTGTGGAGGATGCTTGGCTGTATGTTAGTGATGTAGTTAGTCATTCGAACGCCAAGTATGTGTTGGGCATATTTGTAGATTTCAAAGGTGCCTTTGAATATCTCTCTTGGGATAGAGCGCTCACGCGGTTGGAGGAAATTGGTTGTCGTGAGTTAGGTCTTTGGCAGAGTTATTTGAGTAATAGAAAGGCGTGTGTGGTAGGTGCCAGCGACACAGTTTGGAGGCATGTATCCCGTGGGTGTCCTCAGGGTTCCATCTGTGGTCCATATATATGGAATCTCATGATGGATATCTCATTGGCTGTATCTTTTAAGGTGTGTGCGTATGTGGATGACCTCATTTTATCGAAGGCCGGTCTCGTGTCGATCTGGAGAGTCGGGGTGAGCAGTTGGTGTGGAGGTGGCTTCCGACAATGTTCCTTAAAGGTAGATTGTCGCACAGTCGTCCGGCACTCATTCGTTCTGTTGGTGTTAGTATTGGCTTCGTTTCCAAGGTCAAGTATCTTGGGATCATGGTTGCTGAACGCATGAATTTCACTACTCACTTTGATTAAGTTAGAGAGAGGATGTTAGCATTGGCAGAGAGAGGATGTTAGCATTCGGAGCGATTGGGGCTTGGGCGCGTGTGCTGTCCGTACCATATATGGTAGACTTTTTGTTGCTTGTGCAACATTTGGTGCACCTGTGTGGTATAAGTCAGTGACCACTTCGTTGGGTTTGCGCAAGATCCTATCTATTCAAAGGATTAAGCTGTTATGCGAGGACTGTATCTACGGATGATTTGCAGGTTCTGTTAGGGGCAGCACCCCTTGACTTGGAGGTGATGTGTAGAGCTATCATCTTTAAGATCAAGAAGGAACTGCCGCTCTCTGAAATTGATTGGATTTCCACATCTGAGCTGGCCGGGGATATGAGGAGGAACAAGGAACTCGTAAATGAGCGACTTGTGTCTAGGTCGCAGACAAGATGGAATGAGAGTAGTAATTGTTGGGTGACGAACGCCTTTATCAGAGACGTGACCTTTGTACAGGATCGACCAGACTTTGGCTTTGGTCTTAGTCTGTGGTATTTACTGACAGGGCACGGTTCGTTAAATGCGTTTTTGCATAAGCGAACTTTGTCTGACTCTCCGGATTGTGCCATGCACGTACTGACTCAGTGCATGTTTTATGATGACGTTAGAGACTTGGCCATGGGTATTCGCAGTACCCAGGATGGTTGGGATCTAACTGCTTCGGTCGTGGGGAACGAGACATATGTGGCACTTGGCGTGTTTGCGAGGGAGGTGTTCACTAGGAGAAGGACTAGACTTAGAGGAGGTGATCCTCTGAGCTAGCCGTCATCTGGTGTATGGTCCTGTTCATGAGCTGCTTAACGTTTCTCTGTGCCAGCTCATCGTTCGCTGGCCTTGGGGGTAGGCAGTTGTGCGGTATTGGTGTGTGGCTCCATTCTGTGGAACTCATGCACCGACTCCGCTAAGCTGCCGTGGTGAGTGGTTGCTTGCTCGTGGTGTTGGTTGTTGCTGGTGCCTACTGCATTGTCATGCCTGTGGTGGTGTAGTGGCACTTGGGTGATGTGTGTGGTTGCGCTGGAGGTGGTGTTTTGGTTTGGTTTGTGGCTCTTTCTGCGTGTGTATGTGTATGGGTGTGTGCTGGTCGCTTGTGTCTGTTGGTGGTGCCGAACCGTCCGTATGGATGTGTTTGGTTATGGCCATTGGTTCATGGTTTTTCGGGTGTTTAGTCCGACGGGCTGGACATTCGTGAGGGTGTCTAATCACTGTCCTGAGTGTGGTGTGTGTGTTGTGCGGAATGCCCGTAAGGGTATTCTGGTGTTCCGGTTGTGCCTATGGGTTTACTAGTCCCGGATCATGGATCGAAACTAGTAGGGTTACCATTCCCGAACTTTGTAGGCTTATGGAATGATCATTGGGTGAATGATCGCGGGTAGAGCTGTGGCTCGGTGTGGAGTTGCATTACAACCGGGTGCCTGACCCATAGAAAAGCAGGAGTTTTAGATGGGCTCCGCTCTTCACCCAAGGAGATGATCGCGTCCAAATACGTGTGATCGATTGGTACCTGAATGTTGGTGTGGGGGCGTTGGTTGACGCTGTGTATTAACTGGTATTTACAGCACCGTGGGATAAAACCGCAAGATAGGTACCCACGTACTCTAAGTGTCTCTGTCAGGTCATCTATATTTAAATTTTAGGTGATATGACACTTTCCAAACTTAGCCTTTTATGGTCGTTTGTGGCGTTTGCTTGAACATCACCGATAATTGGCGGAGTTAAAGAGACTTCCTCTTCCACTAGATCTACGTCGATGTCGTGTAGGATTGGGCCAGACATCTTAGATGCAAGGTATTGCAAATAGGATGCCGGAAGATGTTTTTATTTATTTATAATGAAAATAATTTCTAAATTATTTGCGCTTAAAATTTTGTACGTACCATATTTTCCAACAACAGTATATGTATTTATATACGTTTGTGTTATCGTTTCCTTGTGGTTGTTGTATTTTCGATAACATATAACGCGACGGATGGCTCAACGCGAGCATTCTGCTTAGCCTTTTAAGGGCGCAGCGTAGATCAACTTCAAGCGTTTCTGGTATAGTTTCCTTATGGTTGTTGTATTTTCCATAACACGTAACGCGAACATTATGCTTAGCCCTTTCCTGAGTAAATGTTATTGGAAATGCAATTTTGTGTGTTTGACTGCTGACAATTTATTATCAAATTTGACACCATTGGTGTTCTGCCGATAATGGTTATCAAATTGAAAATATGTAGTCAGCTGCACATGCGTGAAGTTAGCAACGTTGCTAACTTTCGATAACAACATTTTTAACGAAACGATACACCAAATTGCTCGTGAGGATCTCCTCTTTCATTACCCTTCAGTAAAGGTAGTCGACTCTACGTCGATGAATTTACCGACTACCACAAAAATACATCGAATACCTGACAAACTACCCACCATGCTTTTGATTGGCGAATTGCCTCACCCTTTCAACTACTATTCGTTCATAAAGATATTGACTACCTGGCAAACTACCGACAATGCTTTTGGCGAGTTTTATATGGCGATGGCCGCTTTGTTGATGGCTTACCCTATTAGCTACCATTCGTCGATAAATTCATCGGCAACATTCCGAATGAGATTTCGTCTTTGACAAATCTAATTAAAAATTTATCATTCAATTTTTAAATTCAAATTTTAACCACTTTTAAGTAAAAAGTGGTCTTATTTCTAAACAAAGGCAAAAAACATAAAAAGTACAAAATTAAATATAATGACATAGTTCACGTAATAATGTAGTTGAAAACTTAACTAATAAATTTTTAAGGTTCGAGACACTACTTTACAAATTACCACTGAGTATTAATATAACCGATGTAGTCGATGAAAATTCGTCGTCGATGTAGTCGATGAAAAGTTGCCAGCCACGTTTTTGGAGTACGTTTTTATATTGAAGCTTCCAGATCCAATTTTCTAACCTTAGGAGTAGTAGCCTCCAAATTAAAAATTGGTCATATTTATAGCTGCTTTTACTTGAATATTACAGATTAATCTGTAAATGGATACCATGAAATATATTATACAACAATATTTGCAAATTTGTTCGTTATATTCATTCATAACTTTATTATTAAATTTATTTTTTTATTTCAACGACTTTAAATGGTATCACAGGTACTAAATGTAAAATTTGGTCGTTCTGTGTCACCCTGTAGTTTCGTTAATTAACTAACTTCATGCCATGTACAGACGAGTGTTGTTTGCTCTCTCATTTGTTGTTCGACCCTTATGCCATGTTCTCACGGTCATTTGAACGACGTTGTTCGCTCTCAGAATTACGTACACGAACTAATGTGTTCATACGATACGTTAGTAATTAACTATGACAGTGCTTCTTCTTTCTTTTATAAAATAGATATACACATTTTCAGTTGTGTTTCGAAAATTTCGTTTGGGTGTTAAAAATATAAATAATTTTTTAAATGGACAATTCGAAAAGTTTTAATTTTTTTCCTTATTTTAGGATGTCGAAAAACTCCAAGCCGATGGGATATTTCAAGTGAAAGAGCCCTATTAGAGGTACGGGACTCGTATATGGGGCAGCTCCGCGGTTGCAGAAAAAACACCCAGATTCTGCAAGAAATGGCTGATCAAATGCAAAAAAATAGGATTTATATACTCGGCTGCCGAGTTGAAAACTAAAATGCATAACTTGGCAGCGCGATATAGGCAAGTATAAGTGAAACAGCGTTATGTTCGGCCTAGCCGATTTTTTACCTTATACAATCAGGACTTCATACGCTTTAGACTGGTACCCACATTGCCTCAGTAAATTTAAAAATTATGA